CTTCTCAAATGATAGTTTATCCTTGTTACAACATAGACAAAATCCTTGTTACTTCTGAAGTGGTCTTACCCTAAAGAAACAAAGAAGGGACAATCCCTTTAGATATGATAATGTGCATTATTTTGCTAAGTCTGAATAGCATACTGCCTTTTTCTTCTATTGCTATAGCAACAGACATCTGTGAGCAATAGCTCTTTTAGTTGTCAGTAAAGATATTTTAAATGACAAAAGTCTTTGTAAAATGTAGTCCAAGGACAGGCAGAAGGGAAAGTTCACACCTCAAGTATTCAAAAAAAAAAAAAAAAAAATTCTCCACTTTCCTTATGCAGTAATTGCCATGTTCTGCAGTTGTTAGCTATAATTCCATAATAAAAAGTTGTGCCTTCTATTCAAATCTAATATTTCCTTTACTTCTGAGCCGCTGGGAAAGGCACTGTTTTGTTTCTTGCCTATGTCTAAAGGCAGCTTTCTCTTCTCTTCTCTTGAAAGCAATTGGAGGGAAAAGCTGGCATGGGAAAGAGAGGGTAACTGCAGGGTGGATAGAGTCTCTGGTCTTTGGATGATGATGCTTGTTAGAGATGCTACCAACTGTCAGCCTCTTGTCTCACCACCAAATTAGCAGTGGAAATAAGACTATATGAAGCTCCAAGTGTTCCTGGCTGTCTTGGCAGTTCTGACTCTAACCACAAAGTACTATGCTGCTTATTGACAATGTCATGAATGGAAACATTATCAACAATGCAGTGATATTGCTCTATGTGCCCCACTCATTCCACTACCAAACCAATTGTGTAAATTATACAGTTAGAAAGAGTCTATTTCACACACACACACACACACACACACCCCTTTTTTTTTTTGAGGAGGCCTCTCTAAAATTATCCATCTTCAGAGAAGCTTTGGGATGTCCAGCCCAAACCTTTATAACTGGATGAAACAGTCCCATCTCTCATCCCCATTTCACAACCCAAGGCTAGCTAGGACATTGGTTTTCTACTGACCATTTGCTCACTCTTATCTCTCTTGAATTGCAAGATTTATCACATCGATACTGGAAACCCATGAAGGAAAGAAACAGCTAAGAATATGTAATCAGCATACTGAAAATCTGTTGGAATGAGTTACAGTCCCTTTGGGGCTTTTCCAATGACAAGGCTTCCCACTATTTGGTGGGATCTGCTAAGTGGATATCCTAGTGAATCTATAAAGTTGTGTGGTCTACAGCAGAGGTCCCCAACTTTTTGGGTACCAGGGACCGATTCCGTGGAGAGAGGTTTTTCTGCGGACTGGAGGAGGTGTGGTTTCATGTACTGCCTGCATCCCACAGATGAGTCTTTGCTTGTTTGTGCGGACCAGTTGCTGGCATGACACGGACTGGTACTGGTCCATGGACCGAGGGTTGGGGACCCCTGGTCTACAGGCTTGTTCTTTCTCTCCCTGATATTATACAAGTGAGGTATGCCTAATGAGTTCTCTATTTGCTTGCAAAGTGGGGGGTGGGGAGCAATATATGGTTTATTAGAAGATTTCCCATGGCCTGCCCTGTGTCCTCTGACTCACTGTTGCACCCTGTACTCCATCATGTATTTTGCCTTAAGATCCTCTCCCTGAAAACAGCAATAACCAGCCACTATCTTAGAAATTTTACTCTGCAGGTGTCCTCATAAATGATACACTGTGAGATGGAGTCAGCAGTCCTCTGCACGCAGACATTGCATAAGTCCATCTGGGAACTATCCCAAAGCAGAGCCTTAGAGTTGCCAGAAGGGTACAAGTTGTTTGCTGTAGATGCAAAGAAGTGACGGCTCTGGGAATTGGATCAGAGTGGCAACAGGTGGGCCCTTGGGAGGGTAGGCATGTTTTGAGATAACAGGGTCCCCTAAAGCATTTGGTAAGTTATTCTATGTTGAGAGACCTGAACAAATGAAATTCAGCTTTTATTTGCTCCCCGAACCTCTGCCATACAATTCTATTTATTCAAGGGCACAATGGATGAAAATTATGTATATCCTGCTTTTATTATTTCATCAAAGATCCTTATTTAAGGTTTTGCTCCTAGATAATTTCTGATTTGCTGGGTAAATTCAGGACATTAGAAATGGAGCATTCTCCGTGATTGAGCAAATACAACAGTCTACCTTCTATAAAACTGAGGATAGCACTCAAGAAGATGGGGGGGGGGGTGGAACAGTCAATTACCTGGATAATCTTGCTTCAATTAGTGTGTCCTTTGTACAATGAACTTTCAGCATAAGAGTTTATTTAAGGGGATAACAAGTACCTAACCACACTGAATTCTGTGTTTGTGACTGTTGCCTTTCTTCCTTTAACTGTAAGTTCTGTTTTCTCAGTATGCTAAGCTTGTCATGTCTGGCTGCAAAGATCAAGATGATCACAAGATGTTGGAAATACGTTATGTAAAGCAGTTTGGGACTCTGTGTGCAGCTCTTCACTTTCTGCTTATCCCATCATTAGTACAGGTCAGCTACCACATCTTGAGTGCAAGAAGAGATGATGTCATGTGCCACCTTCTCTCTCCCAATCTCAAATGTGTCTCCACCCATGCTTGAAGCTCTACTTGCCATCCTAATCCATCTTAAACTCTTTTTGAGTGAAAGATATGTGTCTGTCCCTTCCAATCTAACAACTGTCCCAGTTCTAATTGACCTTGTGGTTGATCCAATGATGGCCTATTAAGTGAATGAACTTTCCTTACCCCACATTTTTTTCTTGGTCTTAAAAAGAACTTCAATCCTTAAATCAACCAGTGGGCACCCTTTGGGTTTCTATTTAGGCTGACAAAACATGTTTTCCTTGTTTATTCACCCTGCCCACAGGGCTTCAAAGCTGCTACTTCTTTCTGCATGGTAAATCTTTAAGTTGCATTGTAGCAGTGGATGGGATGAAGCTACAATGTTACAACAAGTGCTGTTGTGCTTCTTTGAAACTGAGCCCTCAATTCTTCCGTGCTTCAAAGTTTCCATGGACCAAATAATAGCAAAAAAAAAAAAAAGACTCCTATTCCTAATCACTAATCAGAAAAGAGCTAGAAGGGACCTTGGAGGTCTTCTAGTCCAACCCCTTGCTCAAGCAGCAGACCTATACCATTTCAGACAAGTGGCTGTCCATTCTTTTCTTAAAAACCTCCAGTGATGAAGCACCTACAACTTCTCAAGGCAAGCTGTTCCACTGGTTAATTGTCCTCACTGTTAGGAAGTTTCTCCTTAATTGCTCCTCTCCTTGATTAGTTTCCATCCATTGTTTCTTGTCTTGCCTTCTAGTGCTTTGGAAAATAAGTTGACCCTCTCTTCTTTGTGGCAGTCCCTCAAATACTGTTATCATGTCTCCCCTAGTCCTTCTTTTCTCTAGACTGACCATACCCAATTCTTGTAACTGTTCTATATATGTAATTGTCTCCCAGCCCTTAGTCATCTTAGCTGTCCTTCTTTGCACTTTTTCCAAAGCCTCAATATCTTTTTTGTAGTATGGTGATCAGAACTAGATGCAGTACTCCAGGTGTGTGTTCTTACTAAGGATTTATAAAGCGGTACTAATACTTCACATGATTTTGAGTCTATGCCTCTGTTTAGACAACCAAGGATTGTATTAGCTTTTTTGGCTGCTGCTGCACACGGCTGGCTCATGCTTCAGTGATCACCCACTAAGACTTCAAGGTCCCTCTCACAGTTACTGTTTTTCAGCCAGGTTTCACCTTAGCATGTTTTTATTCAGTTCCTGTGGAATTGAAGCACTAATGATACAATAGAAAGGAAAAAAGTTTTGGCATTACAGTAGACCTCAAGTTACAACCATAACTGAGCCAGAATTATGGCTGTAACTCATTGCGGTCATAGGTCAAGGCCATGGTCATTAAGTGAATCCAGTTTACCCAATGGACTCCTTTTTTTGCTGGAAACTGGAAGCAAATGCTGGAAACTGGCAAAACAAAACATCAAAAATTGTGGTCTCTTGACTGTGGGATGCTGCAAGGTGAGCCAATTGCCAAGTGTCCAAAATACAATCATACGGTTGTGTATGTGGGAGGTGAGCATTGTAACTTCGAAGTCAGGTTGTAAGTAGCTTTTGTGAGGGATCCGTCATAACTTTGAATGGTCACTAAGGAACCTGTAAGTCAAGGATTAACCTGCAAGGTGGAAGGAGAGAGCCCAGGAAGGGCACATAAGTGCACCCAGGTGAGCAACATCTGAGAAAGCAAAGAAAAAACAAAGGGGGCTAATGAGAAAAGAATAATCACTGAAAGGAAAAGGCAGCCTTTGGGAGACCAGCTACCTATGGGAGACCAGCTACCAAGACATGAACAGTCACTCTACTTTGGAAAAACATAGTCTTCGACTTACAACAGTTCATCTAGTAACCGTTCAAAGTTACAATGGCACTGAAAAAAGTGACTGATGACCATTTTCACCCTTATGGCCGTTGCAGCATCCCTGTGGTCATGTGATTTACATTCAGATGCTTGACAACTGACTCACATTTATGACGGTTGCAGTGTTTTGGGGTCATGTGATCACCTTCTGTAACCTCTGACAAGCAAAGTCAATGGGGAAGCCAGATTCACTTAACAACCGTGTTAGTAATTTAAGAACTGCAGTGATTCACTTAAGAAATGTGGCAAGAAAAGTCGTAAAAGGGGGCAAACATTTCTCACTTAGCAAGATAAACTTTGGGCTCAATTATGGTCGTATGTTGAGGGCTACCTGTAGTGACACCAGCATGGGAGGGAAGCCACTTAGGCTGCTGTGAGGAATTGCCTTATCTGTCCATTTGTCCATTAGCAGAGAAACTCTTCAAAGCCAGAATAGGATAGGACCAGATATGGAACGACGGGAGGAAACTGCCAAAGAGACAGAGAGTCCAAAACTGTCTGGATCCAGCCAAGAACTGTGAAGAAAAAAAATCCCCACTGGCTCCCAAAGACGAAGCAGCTGGAAAGCAGCCCATAATGTTGTCAGTTCCTCCATTTGAAGCATCCTCTCTAGTCTCTCCTGTGACCCAAAAGGAGCTTGGAAAAAAATTCAGAAGCCAGGCGGTGATATTTGGCTTTATTGGTTTAATGAGGAAGCTGCTGGATTCACAGCACAGGTTATCATCCTGAACCACCCAGGCCAAATCAATGCTGGCTATGCCCCTGTTCTGGATTATCATACTGCTCATATTGCTTGCAAGTTTGCCGAGCTGAAGGAAAAAATTGATCGTCGTTCTGGTAAGAAGTTGGAAGATTGTCCAAAATTCCTCAAATTTGGAGATGCTGCCATAGTTGATATGATTCCAGGCAAGCCTATGTGTGTTGAGAGCGTTTCTGACTATTCTCCTCTGGGTCGTTTTGCTGTGCGTGACATGAGACAGACCGTTGTTGTTGGTGTCATCAAGGCTGTTGATAAAAAAGCAGGTGGTGCTGGCAAGGTCACAAAGTCTGCCCAGAAGGCTCAGAAGGCTAAATGAAAATTCTGAAAATTCTGTACAACTGTACAACTGCCACCTCAGTCTTAATCAGTGGTGGAAGCATGGTCTCAGAACTGTTTGTCTCAATTGTCTCATTCTTACTAAGGCCTAACCCATGTGCAATACTACACTATTACATATCGATCTCTTGTATTTCAGGATTAGTGTGTAGTTTGTTAAGTCTTGTATTTGTGAGCTTAAGATCCAAAGTATTTGTGATTCCAGAGCTGGACTACTAGAAGAAATCACCAGTTGAGAATTTCAGGAAAGTTCATTCAAACTTGCATCAAAATATGAAGATTATTTTTCACTAAGAAATCCTTGGAAGAGGGGTTTGGTGTCTACCAGGGAGGTTTTTACATGTGACTCCCATTGAATAACAGGGCAACATCTTCTTTACTCCAGAAGGGCCAACCAGATTCTCATCTACCTGAAGAAGATGAAGAAGTGGCTTCCCCAATCTGGCAGGTTACCTTCCGCATCCATTTTCTCTAACCATGACCATCTTGATGTACTGAAATTACAGCTTTCAAAATTCCCAGTATGCTAGATGGAACTTTGCTCTCAGGAGCCCTAGAAGTCACTGCACTGGAGAAGATGATTCGTGGATGGTAAATATGTCCCAATTCCCCAGGCTCTCCAATCCCGCATCCCACATGATGGCTGTAAAAGAACTGTTCACCGCCCTTCTTTCCCTGCCAGATGACACTTATTTGCTACTTCCTGCTAGCTAGCCTTTTCAGGCTAGAGCAGGGGTTCTCAACCTTGGCAACTTTAAGACTTGTGGACTTCAACTCCCAGAATTCCTCAGCCAGCAAAGCTGGCTGAGGAATTCTGGGAATTGAAGTCCACAAGTCTTAAAGTTGCCAAGGTTGAGAACCCCTGGGCTAGAGCCACCAGCTCCTGTTGTAGAAAAAACAAGATCTTGTTTTGCTTTGACCAGAATATAAATTTACCTGCAGTGATACCAGACACCACACTATCATTTTATAATTGTTCTATTACATCATGCGGACTTCACAGTATTATCTTGGAGATGAAAAGAGTGCTAACCAAAGGAGAATTTGGCTTGTTTGGATTACAGTATTTCTGTCTGGTTAGAACATCTTGGAACAAAGAAGCTGTTAAGTATATAAAAAAGGCCTACTGACTCATATTTTTAGAGTACATAACAGCTACAGAACTATAATGTTCTGTAACAACAGCCTTTATACTGAAGGAAGTGGAAAAAATGACATGGAGTGGCATATGAATTCTGCAGCTGTTCTTTAACTAAAATGCCACCACATTTTGTTTTATCAAAACTCATTGTTCAGTTAAGGACCACTCATTTGAGATGAATTTGGTTGACTAGGTAGTATAAATAGGTGTTAGAAATAAAACCTATTCAACTCTGTCAGATTTTCCTTTCAGTAGATTTTCATAGGATTAAGCTGTAAGATCACTTGCACCAACTTTGCCAGATTCTTTTACTAAGGTATTCTAAAAGACCTAATTGTTTCTGGAAATAAGAGTTTGGAAACCCCTAGACCTTATTTTATTTTACGCTTTAAGATGAAATGCTGTTTAAGTATCTGTTTTACCTTTACTGTCTTTCATAAAAGAGTTACATTTGGCTCAAGAATCACATAGCACTATGCTGAACATATTTTTTCAGGAGTATCTCTATCAAAACATGACCAAGTGACTTCATTGGATTGTCCCTGGCTGGCAAACCAAAGAAAGAGCCACATGGGAATTGCCTAGCTTCATTTTAAAATTGAAGCCGTGACCGGTGTTGACCTGTTTCCTGGGACTAAGAACACATCTCATCTTTCTGGAGAAGAAGAAAAAAACCCCTGCTTCCTAGACAAGTTTAGCTATCAATCTCCCTGCAAAGACCTCTAGTTTTCAAGGCCTTTAATAATTTATTTCAGGACTTACAATCACTATAAATCACTATATTCTTAAATGCTTTCTCCCTTTCCCACAAACATATTTTGGATAGGTGATTTATCATTAAGGCCTTTAGGAAATCCAACTAACCTTCTTTGCTCTCTCCATCTCTGCACAATTTAGAAGGTCATTCACATTCACTGAACAAAAGAATATTTTCTAAGTTTTTTAAGGTTGCCGAGATAAGCTTTAAAAATATGAGTTAGTAAAAAAGGAAGATGAGGAAGGGATTAAGAAAGGGATATGTTGTACTGATTCTGAGTATCCTCAAGTATGGAAGTGCAGCTTCCCTAAAGGCTTAGATATTGATAGTTCATTCATTCATTTGGCTTAGGTTTTAAACATGTTAGTTAATTTAAAAAATCAGTTTAGAAAAATACACTAATAAAACATACGGTAATCCTTTATGATTACCTCAAATTAAATAACCCTGTATTTTATTTGCTTAATGCTGAACTTATTTCCTGTACTAGTAGACATATTCTGCAGGCTTTAACAGAACTGATATATCCTAACTAGGATTTTTCTAACTCAGGAGTTCACATTTTGCTATTTATATACAATAACTAATGTTAAATTATTCTGGCAATTTTTTTTTGCTGGCTCAGGGACTGCGGAGAAGCATGCAGTCCCAAAGCACCTACAAGGCAAGATTTTCTGATACTTGTGATTTGTGGTATAATTCCTTATTTATATGTGTTGCCCTGGAACCATCCCATATTAAAAGAAATGTATGTTTCCCATAGGTTTTTATCTAAAGTGCCTTGCTAATGGCCATGTTGGCTGATCTACTGGGAATTAAAATTCAAAATATTGGATGGCTACCATTCAATATACATACATTTTCTCTGTAATAGAAAATATTGCCCTAAAATAATGCTTTGGGACTAATGCTGAGAATGGCAGATGGGAATACATGATCTGAGTTAAACTAACATTTAGTTTGGGTAGACAAAATATTTAAATTGCTTCTGTCCCTTGTCCAGAATGTTTTGTTTTGTTTTGTTCTTGGCAGAGATATCACTTGGCACACGTGATCTGTACTGGAGTAAATGTTTCCTAAGACACTGCTGGGAACTTTTGAAGAATTGCCTGTGATGCATGTGGGCAGTTTATTTAATGGATGTTGCCAGGAACATCCTGTGACATGCAGGGACCTGCAGTGGATGACAAAGAAAATGAATGACGTTCCAGAATTTTTTTGGGGGGGGGGGAGGAATGAGACTTACATGCAAGGTATTATTTGATAGTGATGTAAGAATTGGTGAATCTCCACAACTGATATAGATGCTATAATTTTGTTGTGTTTATTGCATTCTCCAGCTTAGTTTTTTAAGATGTGTTGGGACTGCAGCAGTTCCCAAAAGTCTCCAACGAACAATCTTGGTAGCTATGGAATTCTGGGTGCTGTCATCTTACCCAACCACCTGGAAGAAGCCAGTTTGGGGAAACACACTCAGGTCTCAAACCCCGGCTGTCAACTTACCAACTGACAAGCTCAGCATCTTTCACCACTGAGCCATTACATCCCCTTTCCTTTATATACTCATGATGATCATTTATTGCTAAGATGTATAAACTTTTGTTGAAATGAGACAGAAGAACAAGTGAAATAATGTATAATAAAATGGGCTAAAAGCTTTCTCTATAATATACAAATGGATCAATGGAAAAATTTGTGACTGAAAGGTCTGAAATTTACTTTATGTTCTAACCTTAAAGACAATTCATGTAACGTTACGTATTGTTCAGTTTTGTCACCAGAGAAACAGAAACAGACTCTAGAACAGTGGTTCTCAACCTTTTTAATGCCGCGACACCAACCGGTCGTAAGTCGAGGACTACCCAACTGGTCGTAAGTCGAGGACTACCCAACCGGTCGTAAGTTGAGGACTTTCCCTGCCCGGGAGCGCCGCACATGCATGGTGCTGCCCCCTGCGCTGGCCGAGGCGTTAGCTGGCAAGGGGCAGCAACAGCGCAGGGCGACCACTGGCTGGGCCACCAGTTGGCCCAGCCCAAGGGAGGTAAGGCACCCGCCGGGCCCCACCCGCGCCAACCCTCCCTGTGCCCACCGGCCTCCCACCTCCCACCCCTGGCCCTCTTTTACTTACATTTTTAGTAGTTGCTCAGCAGGGAGGGATGAAAGCTTCCAGACAACTCGCCTTCTCTGCAGACAACTTGCAGCACCGTTTGCAGACTGGGGCTTTTGGCGGGCTCAGCAGGGCAGAGACATCCTGGACAATTCCTATTGGCTTTTGAAAGCCAATAGAATTACATTCTGTTCAAGAGAGTCTATTCTATTGGCTTTCAAAAGCCAATAGAATAAAAGGGAGTAGCACAGCTAAGGAAAAGGGGGAAAAAATGGCGGACTGCGTTGTTTGGCGACCCCGTGAAATGGTCGTTCGACCCCAAATGGGGTCGCGACCCACAGGTTGAGAACCACTGCTCTAGAATATATAAAGATACTTTGAATTTTTGCTGGAAATGCAAAGAACATGAAGTGATATTTTTCCATGCTGGAAATGCAAAGAACATGAAGGCATATTTTACCATGTTTGGTGGACATGCAAAAAAGCTGAAAAGATTTGAATACAAATGCATAGATTATTCAGACAACTTTAAAGATTAAAGTACATCTAAAACCAGACTTTTCTTTTGTGATTAATAGATAGGAAAAAAAAAGGCATGGAACTTGTTTTTATATATGGATGACTGCAACAAGACTATTATAGCTCAAAAGTGGGAAGATTTGATATTACTACAATGGAGGATGAAGATGGCGGAACTTGCAGAGATGATTAAATTAAAATGGCTTTTTAACTTTTCTTTGCTGTTACATATGATTGAGATCAGTATATGTCAACAAGTGCTCCCCAAACAGATTATGAAAGCCCTGTATAGTATATAACAACTTTGAGAAAAGACTTTACCACTTTTTGGTTCCTGTTTTTTCTCCGTTACTGTATTCCTTTGGGAAATATAATATTCTGCTTTTTAATATTCTCCAAAATATTTCTTTCTGGGGGGAGGGTGCTGTCCTCCCACAATCTATTTGATTATATTTTGGAGAGGAGGGCCATAGTGGATTACTTTTCATTGTTATATTCTTTTTGACTTTGTTCATTGCCTAAAATCGTATATGTGATGAGCAGTATGTATATGTGATGTATAGAAATTGAATGAGCTCCTTATGGAATGTTTTAAGTATCATTGTATAATTGTTCATATATTATCAAATACAAATAAACAGATCTACATGTGCACAGTTTAAGCTAACTACTTTATTATATTCAGTTTATTAATACAGGAATTTCCCCAGACTGCTTGTCTTCCACTTGGGGAACAGATAGAGAAGGTGCTATGCCTGGAGGAGAGGGTTTCAGTGCAAGATCTCTTGCAGCTATGCAAGGATTCAGGGCTACTTCCCTGTTTGAGTCCTCCTTCCTGCCTGCCTGGGCATTTCCCGACATCCCTCTCCCCCTCTTCTCATATAATTTAAGAATTAAAGAGCTTAAATGATCAAATCAACATTTCCATACAGTACTGTGTTAAGAGACTGTTTTGTTAATGGTATCCTATGGAGGTCTAATCAGACAATTCTACTAAGTTCTATAGTTGGAACAAATCTCACGGGATTATAATTAATAGAGGACGAAGAGTTTTGCAAAGAAGCGGAAAGCAACGTCCATCAAAATCTTTCCAGGGGAGGGGGGAATCCGATGGAGTCGGTTCTGGGACGCCCCTAACTTCCCGATTTCAAGGCAGAAAGGTCGGCTATCTTAACGGAGACGGACGCGTTAAGAAATAAGACATCTATGAGGCAACTCCATCAGATTGGGGAACAGCACGTGTAAACTAAGGAAGGGGGGGCAGTTAAGCACCCAATGATTGACAACAGAGGCGGAGCCTTCCGAGTGACTCCGATGACGTAGCCGGCCGTGAGAAAGAAGCGGCGCCGGGGGGGGGGTGATTGACAACAGGGGCGTGGCATTAATAGCATGGCGGCCTCCGCGGGCGCTGCTGCACTGGGTCGAAATTCGCGCGCGGCTCTTTCACCTTGGGCGCTGCGGGTCCCACGCGCCGGGCGCGGGCGGCTGCTGAGCCCCGCCAGCCTCGGAGGGCGCGCGCCGGCCGCCCTGGCCGCTTCTCACCAGCCGAGTGCGGGAGGAGAGGAGCGCTACTGCCTGGATTTGCTGCGGTGAGGCCAGCGGCTGCTTCTTCGGGGTCGGGCCTGGGCTGGACTGAGCAGGATAACCAGGGCAACCCCTCTGCGGGGTGTGGTTTGGCACCTCCCAGCCCATTTGATTTGCATATATTCAGATAATGTGACGTAGAGGCTCGGAATCTGCTTCAAATCGCCCTTGAGAACGACCCACAACGCTGCTTGGGAGAGTGCATTAACTTGCTAGCTTTTCTAGGAAGAAGCTAACATAATTTCTATACTATATATTTCTATATCCCAGGCGTCCCCCAAAGAGACGCAGTCTCCCCCTTGTGCTTTTCCACACATCTCTTGGCTAGACTATCATTCCTAGTGCAGTGAGCATTGTGCTTGTCCGCTGGAGTGCCATCCCCTGATTTTTATTTTTTATTTTTTGCAGTGGCAACCAGAGAATAGTTTGCCCACTTTTCAGGATTGTTCTTTATTTTTTCCAAGAAAATAGAGTTGTTTAGTCGCTAAGTCGTGTCCAACTCTTTGCAACCCATGGAACATAGAATGCCAGGCTCTCTTAAATGTATCCTAAAGGCATATATGGCGTTGCAATAAAACCATTATCCTTTTGGAGTCAAAGCTTTTTGATTACCTAAAACTAAAGAGGGGAATGGCCAGAGTGATGGAATGTGTTGCGCTTCTTCAATCTTAATTTGCAACATGCCTATAAATAGAAAGCTAATTAATTCACCATGCTTTAGAACCTTTTATAAACCCTATTAAGTCTTTTTCTTTTATATGTATGTAAGTAAGAGTTCTACTGTTAAATTTGTTACTGTATTTGGTCTTTGAGCTATAATAAATTTGATTTGATTTGACTTCACAAGTGCAGAACCTCATCTGTGATTTGAAATAGTGCAACCCATTCTACCATTTTATTGCAATACATTTCAGCTTTGTGTCTGTTGGGCAAATAAAGCTTCCAGAATTATCTTTTGATGAACAGCAAGACATTATGTGCCTATAACGTTAATTTTAAAACAAATCCTAGACATTGTGTGTGGAGTATATACTTCTATTTTAGAGCAGGAGTGGGCATACTGGTACTATACGCTCCAGAAGATCTAGACTGCAATTCTCACTAGCCAGCCTGCAGATCAGTGCTTTATAGTTCTAAGAATTGTAAACTGGACTATATGGAGAGTACCAGTTTATATCCTCTTGATTTAGAATAACTGCAAAATAATTTTTGTACTTTGCTTGGAATCACTTTCTGTTGAGTTGGGCATCCATGTCAATTTGATTAATAAATAACATTAAAAATAATTTAATTGAGAAGTTTTTATCTGTTCCACTGACTAAATGAGCTTGTAATGAAAGCTAATGCTCTTAATTATTCTTTGTATATCTAGAAAACGGGATTATGAAGGCTTCCTGTGTGCACTGCTGTTGCCTGCAGAATCACGTGCCTCTGTCTTTGCCCTGAGAGCCTTCAATGTAGAACTGGCTCAGGCAGGTATTAAAATATCCATTATACAATACAATGTTAACATTAAAAAAAAAACTTCTAAAAATCCCAAACGTGAAGTTTGTGTTTTTTCCTGTCAGTTGCTGTCAGTTTTTCCCTCACAAGATACCAAACTACCTAAACAGATTGTTTACTTACATATGAAAACTCGATAAGAAATAAAAAATAATTCCTAACATGTATGCATTATACTGAACATAAATGCAAAACGACCTGCCAATCTGTGACCTTATAAAACTGTACAAGGTATATAAAATAAATTGTTTGGATATTTTACTATCTTTTTAGGATTTTGTCATTGTGAATAGATACTTGTCTGTATCATTCTGTAGTAATTTATGAACAAGTGAAAATAATACTGATTTTAATGAATTGCACTGGGATATTCCATATTTGCTTCTGATATATTCAACTATTTCTTTAGAATATGTACCCTGATACTTTTAAGTAGCTATTGACCAATCTTTAAGAAAGTTGTTATAACTATAGAAGGTCCTGGACTGAAATAGATTATCTGGACCTGTTTAAGTCAGTTTTCAAGCTTGGATTTGGCACAGGGATAATATTGATTGCTTTTGAGAGAAGAGATAAATAAATAAAATCACATTATGAATTATTGTGTAAAAAGCAGGCTTTTGCTTTAATACTTTGGTCCCAACTTATATTAATTGTATCCAGAAATTATACGCTAAACAAATGTGTTAGTGTGAAGTTGCTTATGCCTTAGAAACAGTTTCAATAAATATTTTGGTTGCAAGCTATAAACCAGCAACCTTAATATTCTCACTATTGAAAAAATTGGTATCTCCAGGTCAACGAGTCTTTACTCTTCAAAAACACTACCAAAATCTGACACATTTCAAAGTTGAATTTAGAAGATACATATCCATACTAAAGCTGTGTACATCAATATCCAACAATATTGCATTTAAATTGCCTATCTGCCTTTTTACAGACCAGGAATAACGTTTGTTAGATAAGTTTGAAATGTTTTCTTGCTTGTCTACTACTAACAACGAATGGATTTAAGAACAGTTGAAAGAATAGAGAAGTTGATGTTATCAGCCTAATGATTAGTTGCAAACTTTAACATGATCCTTACAGAAAGTAAGATAATTTGGCTTATAGATTTCATTTATAAATTATGTATTATGGTTGATAATTTCCTAATTTTAAAAGGATCAAATCTTTCCAAGCTCTTTTAATATCAGAAAGCTTTTTTATTGAAAGAATTTCCTAGATCTTCTCTTACTTATCTTTGTGAGATCTATTGTAGCTCTTTGCAAATAACTAAGAGTGGAGCCTCTCTGTTCTCCCCATGGTGGGATTCCTCATTCATGGAAGAATCCTATGCATCTACAACAGCCTGCTCTTTTTTACATCTCTTCCTTTTGTTTAAACAATATAGGCTATACGATAGTGGCAAATATCTGTAGCTCAGATGTAGGATGAACCTCCACCCTCAATATAGTATATTCGATGTGATAAAAAAGTAATGTAATTGGACTATCACTAGTACTATGTTTCTGTTCCAGATTAGAGACTCTGTAACTGAGAAAACCATCGGTTTGATGCGGATAGAGTTTTGGAGGAATGCTGTAGAAGACATTTACCAGGATAATCCACCACAACAACCAGTGGCAATAGAGCTATGGAAGGTATAAGGCTAAGCCAGGGGTAGGCAATGCATTGAATATTTTTTGGATAACTGAATGCCATTCTAAGCAGTACATAGGCTAGAATTTTCATGTTTTTTCCTTTTGGGATATTTTTTTCCTTTGAGCAAGTGAGCTTGATGGGGTGTTCTCTGAGTTATAAATTATATTAGCCCACTTTAGGTTTATATTAATATACATTTCTATATTTCCCATCTCACAGTGGCAAACAAATCATGCACCCAAGTTTTGTCAATGCTGGTCAGCAGTAAAGGGTAGGGGCAGGAAAAAAGGGAATAAGTGGGTCAAATGTTTGGTATAACATAGCCTTTACATTTAAATTTGTTTGTAATTATAGTGCTTTTATATTTGTGGGAAATACTCTTGGAAAGTTTTTGTCAGCTGGTTTGAAAAGAATTGAAGATAAGATAAGGGAGAAATTTATTCAGGAAATATCTTCCATGCAGTAGGGTAGAAACTTGGGCGTGACCTTTACCAGGAAGGCATGGAGAAAGGCAACTGGGCACTCTGATGCAAATGATGCCCTTTTTCCTTGGAAAGTAAACAAATAATGCCAACCCTAATCTTTTCCACTGTGACTTTCAGGTTTTTCAGAGGAATTTGCCTGTCCTTTGGTCCCCATATACATTAGAACTGCCTGTCTTGCTTCATAGCAGCAGAATAGAGCTTCAGATAAAAGTTTTCCTGAATATAACATTCACTTACTTACTCAGTCACCAGTTACAACTTTGCATTCCAATTTTACTTGTATCCCAGCTGAAAACCTAAGATACATACTTGTTCCCTTAAAAACACTAACACCATCAGATGCTTTTTGGAGCTGATTGCAAGGTTCCAGGTCTAGCCAGTCTTATTTGACATTTAAGTCACTTAAAAAGGATATTTGTTAAGAGATGAAAATGTTGGGTATTTTAAATCCAAGTCTTTACTACAAAGCAAATGGCCGTAAATGTTGGACTACATTATCTTTTAAGAACTCTATACACAGATTTGTAATAATATGATTAAAATTCTTTCCTGTAAAAATTTGTTGCAGATGTTCAACTTAATTGCTGGTGACCTTACATTTAAGAGGACACTAGTTGCTTTGCAGATCAATTCATATCAGCAATTTACAGATAATCCTTGAGTTGTAATGGTAATTGGGAATGGAATTTGTCAGTAAGCGATGCAGTTGTAAAGCATGATGTCACATTCATTACATTGCTTAGCAACAGCAATCCTGGCATAACTTATTGCCATTATTAACTGATTTCCACCAGCCTTTAGCCAAGGACCCAAGCCAAGCCATTCTGAGCTTGGTACCTTCAAGGCCTGAGCCTCGGTTCTTTCAAGGTCAGCCCTCCTCTTCAATTCCCCCAATTGTCTGTTCTCTCTCATCAGCCCTTTTAGCTACTCTGCACCCTGCCCTGCAGGGCAGTAAGCAGCTTCAGAACCATGTCCCTCTGGACTGCTTGTTCCTCTGCAACTCACAGGCTACTTGGCATGCTGTGGCTTTGGAGTTGTACAAAGCCACAGCCACGTCTAGAAGCCACCCTAGACTTGTCTCTGCTGCAGTTGCCTTCACCACCTTGCACTTCAAGGCCCCTGCTATACTAAGACATGGCTGTTTTAAAAATTCAAAGAGAGGTGATTTTGATTTATTTCACGAGTTAAAAGAGATGCACAGCGGTATAGCCCAGCCTGGATAGCAATATATCTTTCACTGCATTTATTAATTTACTTTCAAAAGCTGCACCTTCTCTCTCTTGATTAAATTATCATTTCAATTTCCTACAGCATCTGATTGTTGACTGTAGAAAACAGAATGTTAGATTAAATAGACTTTTAATCTAAGCCAACAGTGGTGACTTGATTATCTTAGTTTGATTGCTTGATTTCTTCTTGGTTCTCTCTCTCTCTCTCTCTCTCTCTCTCTCTCTCTCTCTCTCTCTCTCTCTCTCTCTCTCTCTCTTTATGTAGATAGATAGATAGATATAGATATAGATATAGATATATCCTGTTCATCTGATTTTAGGCTGTTAAGAGGCAAAACCTGACCAAAAGATGGCTTATGAATATTATTGACCAAAGGGTAAGTTTTACATTATTTTGAAAAAAGAAAAATTACATCCCCTTCCCTCCCTCCCCCCATTATTCTTGAGTAACTGGAATAAAGATAAGTCCTTGTAACTGAATTCTGTGTTGAGGGTTATGTTTTTGTAATAGAATTCTTAGTGTCTTTTTGCAATAACAGTCTCCAGAATAATTTGAAATGAGCCATGGCGTTTAATATAGAACTCATAGACATGTATAGCAGCATTCTGTAAGCTTTATCATTTTTTTTTCAAAAAATATGACTGTATTTCATGGTAAAGATACAATTGCAACCACTGTGGGAAAATGCTTAATTTTGAAAGGCTGAAAAATGCCCTGAAGCGTTTGTTGTACTGTAAGATAGTATAATATGTTTACATTAGGAATATATTTTTAAATATTCTATAAAGGTAATATATATTAAACTGCAGTATGAACAAAATATTGAAACATCAACATAAATGCAGGTTATGATTATTACTATATTTTTCTTCCTTGGTGATTTTAATTCAGTTTCCTTAAAGATAACACAATTTTACAGTACTATGAAAGGTAGAGTAGCTGTGTTGGATTGGTATTTAGGAAGCTGCATAAATGCCATGATTTCACTCCTCTAGAAATTATGCAAGTGGCTATTGAGAAATGTTTATTGGTTTTGTACTAATAAATAACGAATAAATAAACTGATTAACCAGTTTGGTAACAGAACTCGGTGGAAGATATGGTCTGCATAATAGAGGCATTGTAATCTTCTGTCTTTCTGTCTTTGTTGAAAAAAAAATCATATTTTGGCAACCAAAATATTCCTTTTATTTTCAATTTGATTAACTTTCAAAAAGCATGTAGCATTACCTTGAGCTATTTAATCATTACATTAGCAGACAGCTAAATAATACCTCTTTCCATTAGCAGATTCCAGCTATTTCAGAGGTACATAATTAGCTGTATAATAGGATCAATTTCCAAGGTTCCTCTGTTTACAATGACTGTAGATCGAGGAAACAAGTGTTCTTTCTAGCTAAGAGGAAAATTTGTAAAGGTAAAGTATCCTAAAAGTTACTATATGCTTCTAGTAAAAATTAAGACTTCTTTTGTTCTCAATGCTTAGCAACTTCTCTCCCTCTGTTTTTTCTTTCCCTATTTTTCTCCTCTTTTTTTAAAAAAGGGAAACAAGATAGTAATTTAGTGTAGGGAAAGTAATCCACATGTCCCTAACTCAGAAGATAATGCTTTCTTTTAATAAAAGTGACATACTTCTATTTTTTTAAGTTAACCTCAGTGATCGGTTGTTTCAATATATACTCTCCTCCCTCCCCCGCCCCCCCCCCTTTACAAACGCACAGGAAAAGAATCTGGATGACCGAGCATATCAGGATATCAGTGAACTTGAGACATATGCTGAAAGTACACAGAGTGCACTCCTTTATCTCACACTAGAAACACTTGGTAGGTTACTCTGGCACTTGCCACATGGATGGATGTACCAATACAGGAAGTCTTTGATTTATGACCACAGTTGAGTCGCAAGATTTCTGTTACCAAGCAAGGCAATTGTTAAGTGGGCTCTGCCCCATTTTTACAACCTTTCTTGCCATAGTTGTTAAGCAAAGTAACATGGCAGTTGAGTGAATTTGGATTCCCCATTGACTTATCAGAAGGTCGCAAAAGGTGATCACATGACCCCGAGACATTGCAACCGTCATGAATATGAGTCAGTTGCCAAGCATCTGAATGTTGATCACATGATCTTGGGGATGCTGCAATGGTCGTAAGGATGAAAAATGATCACAAGTCACTTTTCTAGTGCCATTGTAACTTCGAACAGTCATTAAATGAACGGTTGTAAGTCAAGGACTATCTGTTTTTATTTGATTTTTTTTTTTAAATACTTGTTGAGTCAAGTCTTTTGATTTTCTTTTTTTCAGAGACAGGCTTAAAGTTTCGGTATACAACGCTAAATACCGTCTCAGGAAAATAAGTCAAGGACTACCTGTAGTTTTTGCTCATGACCTACCTATGTGATTGCATTTTCTTGCAGAAAATATGTTAATAGATGCAATTATCACATGAATGGCCTTAGATCACAGGTGGGCAGTAAAAAGGCCCAGATCTTCTTTTTCCCAATTCCCAATAATATGTTCTACTTCCAATGTACATTATTTGCATTTAACTATTCTTTAAATAATGTCTTACCTATTCTGATTAGATTTTGTTGCCTGGCCATTTCAATAAGCATCCTTTAGGCTTTTCTTTTCTGTACTTAACAGGCGTGAGGGACATCCACGCAGACCATGCAGCCAGTCACATAGGGAAGGCCCAAGGCATTGTCACGTGTTTAAGGGCTACTCCATACCATGCTAGCAGAAGGAAGGTGTTTCTCCCCATGGATATTTGCATGCTGGTAAGACGGTAAAGCTGAGATCCAGTTTGTAACAATATTCCTACTTTTGATGTATTCATAAATCAGGTAGCAAAATGCAAATTCTATTGAGAGTAGTGTATCCTTTCTGTTTTTAACCATTTCAGAATTGGTCCTTCATTGGAAGTGCCTATACATCATGACTTATATTTTGTTTTGGCAATATGACTAGATGGGAAATTATTGAAACATTTGAAATCTAATCTTTAAAACACCTTATCATGATTATCCTTTTAGATGCCTAAAAATCTTGCTGTGACATTCCAGTTTATTTGTTGACCTCTACATCAAAAAAATGATGTGTACATGTTCTTCTGCTTGCAAGCTTAAAAACTTTATGTCTATACTTTCATTTATTTTTATGCATACAAGTAATCGTTGATTAACAACAGTAACTGGTATTAGAATTTTGTCGCTAAAGCATGGCAGCACATAAACTGCATTGCTTAGTGACGGTAATCCTGGCATTGCCATGGTTAATCAATCCCACCTGATCACTAGGCGAGGATCCTCTGCTTCTCTGCCCTTTTTGCCACTTGGCACTCTGCCACTTCTGCCTGACCTGTTCTTCACTCACCCTGCCGCCCTGGGCTCTGCCTTCCCAAGCCCCACAGGAAGGCTGTATGGGATTGGGACAAGGCTGCCTGTGGCCACATGAAGAAGCCAACAGCTGCCTCACAAAGGCCCAAATTGGGCAACACCTCAGCAGTTGGAGGAAGATGATGATGATAAAGGCGAGATGAGGTTGACAGGGCCAGCAGAGTGCAGGGTGGCCAAAAGGACTGATCTGTTGGGGGGAGAAAATGGGTGAGGGGAGTTGAAGCACCCCTATGATTCTAAGGGCTGCCAAGTATCCAGATTTTGACCACACAGTGAGTACAACTTTGCGAACTGAGTGTAACTACCATTTGTTCAGTACAGTTGCTAAATGAATGGTCATTAAGTGAGGGCCAGCAGTATGCAGTTGGTGAAGACCAGAAGGCATTTGGCAGTGACATAGTATCTATATCAAGGGCTCAGGGCCAAAATGTTTAACCTGTTTTCTTTTATGAGAAATTGGGTATTGTTAGCACACCTGTATTCAGATTATATTTCTCATTATATGGGGAGGCCCTGAAACCTCCAGAAATGCTACCCAAATGTGCAATAGGTATTAGGAGGAGCAAGACAAGTAATTTTGCATACTGGAGCAGATTAGAACTCTTAATAATATTTCAGCCCCTTGCTTAATGTAATATTTACCTCATTCACATTTTTGTTACTGAGAAAAGCATTCAAGTATTTACCCACTCCTTTCGTATTTTTATTGGCCTGGAGAATTGTGACATGATGCTTTCTAATAAAGCCTTTTTCACTCTGCTACCGTTTAGATGTCTTCAATTGCAACTGCTAATTCTCTGCCAAAGACTGGCAAAGATTATTGTAACACCTTCCTGAAACCACAGTGTTTTATGATGGGAAATTACTGTGGGATTTTCTGTTGATATAAACTTTCTGAACTATCCTTATGACTTCAAAAATATGTTATGTAATATGTAACATGTATATCTATGTAATATAGCTTCAAGATAATAATATATTCTCCCAGTGTATTTCCGAGAAATATTTAAAATCTGTACCTGTTTTTCCTTCCATGTATGTCAGCATGGTGCTTCACAAGAGGATTTCCTAAGAAAAAATGAGGTGAAGAAAATAAAAGATATTGTATATGACGTTGCAAGTCAAGCCCATGTTCATCTGGAACATGTGAGTTTCTGGATTTTATCAAAATTTCATTAACAATATTGTAGGCCAGCGCTTTTGAAATATGTGCATTAATAGATAGTGGACATACTGGCTGGTAGTACACTTATCATATTGGGGAAGGTTGATGAAAACTATTGTGGAACTTGAATAACTTAAGTTGTACAAATGAACAGATGCCAAGAAACCCACATTTAAAAAAGAACTGGCTTCCTCTGGTTGGACATGAGAAAAGACAAGTTTTGTTACCTTTAATTGTATATTTGTGCCTTGTTTGAAAATCAAGTTGTTGCTGGAATTCTTGAGCTGTAATATTTATTTTAATAAATATTAGCGTTCAGAGTTTTGTGATACTAGTTCTTTGGAATAAGTGTTTCCTGTCCAGACTATTAGAAATAACATTGACAATAATGCTGTTTTTGTTTACTTTGTCTCCTCTTTGATGGGAGTTCTGTCATACAAGTTTGCATTTTTAATGCAGCTGGATAAATTCTTAGCCATAGCAGAACAATAGCTGCAAAGCAGCAGTGTGATCCTCCAGTGAAAAAGTGTACATTCGAGAAATTGTGTAGCAATATATTTATTGGGGAAAATACTGGCAAAGGTTATTATTTGGGACATAGCATTTATAAAATGTGTTTATACATTTTACATCTGTAGTGTGCTTGTGTTTCACATAGACTTTAAAAGAAAGTATGCAAATTAACTGGAGAAAGTACTGGTTAGTATAAAGGAAAGTTAAATGTAAATGAATGTTGAAACTACTGTAGTTATAAGCATATGTGAATATGTGAGCATATTCCTCAATGGCCAACAGAGGGCGAAATTCATCTGTTTTTAAGCTTACATAAATTATCTCAGTGTTGTGATGTCAAAACTGTATGTAGCCTTGATAAATATAATTCCTGCTAATGTTTTGCTTTTCCCTTCTCTCCTCTTCCTTCCATGCCTAATTTAATACTGCAAATTGGGGGTGGGGTTCTCTTTCTGGTGTTATAGCATAAAAACTGTTTAGATCAGGAAAAACTCATTTTGGTTCAATATTTCATTTCTCAGATGCTCAAAAGCAGGAGTTTGGGACATACAGGTAGGCCTTGACTTACAATTGGTCACTTAGCAACCATTTGAAGCTGCAAAGGACCCTTAACAAAGGTTCTTATGACCTGGTTCCAAAGTTCTGATGGCTGCTTCCCTTGTTACATAACTGCATTTTGGGTGCTCGGCAACTGGCCAGCATCATGTGATTGCTGTGTTCACTTAACAGCTGCTGAGAATTTTTTTTTATAAAACTGGATCAGTCATTTAGTATAAAGTAGTCCTTGTGTATGGATAGTCCTCAACTTACAACTACAGTTGAGCTCCACATTTCAGTTGCTAAGCAGAGTTGTGCTTCATTTTGTTTTGTTTTTTTGTCACAATTGTTAAGCAAATCAGTGCAGTGGTTAAGTGAATCTGGATTCCCCATTGATTTTGCTTGTCAGAAGCTGGAAAGGTTACAAATGGTGACCCCATGATCATGGGCAGTGCATGGTGCATAAATACATGCCATTACCAAGGGCCCGAATTTTGATCACGTAACTACGGGGATGCTGCAAAAGTTGTAAGTATGAAAGCTGGTCATAAGTCACTTTTTTCAGTAACTGTAACTTCAGATGGTCACTAAATGAATGGTTATAAGTCAAGGGCTACCTGTACTCTTCTCCTGGCATTCCCCTGCATCTGGAACTGGAGGCATTGCTACCTGGTTGCCATTAGGACTCATTACATTGAGTCTTATGAAGATAATTATAATATAGAGTCTTTGCTTTACTACTTGTCTTCCACCTATTTGTGCTACCAATTGGATTTCTTCTCTTCTTTTGCTTCAAAGCTTTACTTTTCTGTCCATGTTTATTCAGCTTTCTATTTATAAATTCACCTGTTTATAGATAGTAGCATGGAAATATTTGTGCAGTTCTATAAAACAGGTTATACTTTCTGACTTTTAGCATAACTGAAAAAGACAAGAAAGCAGAGCAGAATTACTGCAGTTACTTTGTTTGGTTTGAAAACATTGTGAGGCTCTGTTGATTCATTAAGTAAAAAGTTAAAAGAAAGCTATGGAGGTGCTTCCAACTTACGCAAAGCGTACGAGAAGGTGAGAAAATTAACAGGAGCAAAACTATGACTAAGAGCAGAAGTAGGTTTTCTTTCTGTGGGTGGAATTAAAATTGTGAAACGTCTTTACTCTTTGGGAAGTGAAACCAACATAAAAAGAAGGAAAACATTTTGGTCATCAGTTCAAAGTTAAATTCAGAGTAGGAAGCTCCAGGCCAGATTTTGTGCTGAGGTATATGTCATAAATTGGAATAAAATAGCAGTGTTGATGATGTTTCGATCCACCACCCTGTTTGCAAGCTATGCAAATAGTGTTGTTTTTGATAGGGAAGTGAATAGATACGATTCACAGGTGAGGAGGGAAGGAGGGAGGGAGGGAGGAAGGAGTTACATGATCTCTCATAGAGGCTATTACCAGACAAGAGTAGGAGGACATTTCCCAACAATATGCTGTTATCTTTTTTTCATAATCTGATGCTATTATTTTGTCTTTCAAAAGAAACATTCTTCTGATTTGCAGTATATCAGAAATGATGAAGCTTGTAGCTAACCCAGATTTCTGATACCCAATGCAATACACATAGTCCTCAGTGTTCAACCAGAAATTATGTTGCCAAGCAATAGGTTGCTAAGTGAGGTGTCCAATTTTATGACTTTCTTTTGCCACAGTCTTTAAATGAATTGTGGTTGTTAACAAATCTGCTTGGCCTGTTCACTTGGCTTGTCAGAAGCCCCCTTGGATCGCAAATGACTAACATACAAGGCTGGGGTCCTACAGCTTTCATGAATACATGCCAGTTGCTAAGTGCCTGAATTTTGCCCACATGACTTGGGGACACTGTCATGGTCGTAAGTGTGAGAAGCGGTCCTAAGTCATTTTTTCAGTGCCATCATAACTTAAATGGCCATAAGTCAAAAACCACCTGTAATTTTTCCACATGCTGAACATTTCTTAAAAGAGTTTTCTCTTTATAAGGTATTTTCCATTTAGGGGTAAGGCATGTGGGGTCGGGGCATTATACACTGTCTCTCATTTACCCAGATAGCCAATCCTTTAAATTACAATTACAATTTTATTTAACAATAACCTTGCATGAACATATAATCTCTGTGTAATCATTTTTTAAAGTCATCTTTTCCACTGGCACTAGAAACCCCCGTCCTGTCCTAGCCACTATTTATCTGTTTTTCTTTCTTCCTTTTTTTAAATCTGTTAGCTCTGTCTACTCACAACTCTGTCTCCCACTTTCTCTTAGCTTTGAAGTGTGTATGAAGGTGCCCAATTAATTTTTTTCTCCCTTCAGTAGAATAGTAATTTATCATTTCATCACAGAACCCCAACTCATGAAAAACTTTCTCACCTCGACACATTCCTTAATTTTAAATGCATCATTTTGTCTGTTTCTTTCCAGGCTAGGTCCTTCAAGAAGAATATCCCTGCCAAAGCATTTCCTGCCTTCCTTTGTACAGTAAGTGGTTGTATTGCTTTTTTTTTTTTTTAACTTCACAAAAAAATTGTGATAATGGCATTTAGCCTTCAAACACCATTCTGAGACTATGTCTGAACTACAAAGCTTTACCACTAATATCTAGCCACATTTTCAGATAGTCTTGTTTATTTACCTATCCCCTTCGGCTTTTCTTTCATAACATTTGACTTAATCAAGTGTTCTGGTAAATGCTTTGTCAGTTTAACATAATTAATGATGTTCACACAGACACGATGTAGACTGGGATTTTTTAAAAAACAAAGTACAGTCAATATGGCTGTGATTTCTTTTGGTGGAACAAATTGTCTAAAGTTGAGATGGGAATCCTTTCCCAAAACTATTTTTTGGGTCTCCCAACAGTTATGAGGGATGTTATGGCGTTGCAGGGATGTAGATAAGATCAGATTTTGCCATCTGACTTCTCATTAGGAAGGAAGGTTGGACTTTTCTTCCCAAGTAAAATAACTATGTTAAGTGTATCAAAAACTTAATACAGGTACTCCTCAACTTACCACAGTTCATTTAGTGACTGTTCAAAGTTGCAACAGCACTGACAAAAGTGACTTACAACCATTTTTATACTTACAACTGTTATAGCAGCTCCATGGTTACATGATCAAAATTCAGACTCTCATATTTGTGATGATTGCGGTGTCTGGAGGTCATGTGATCACTTTTTGTGACCTTCTGACGAGCAAAGTCAATGGGGAAGCTAGATTCATTTAACAACTGCAGTGATTCACTTAACTGTAGCAGGAAAGGTTGTAAAATGGGGCAAAATCACTTAATAAATATTTCACTTAGCAACAACAATTTGGGGCTCAATTGTGGTCATAAGTTGAGAACTATCTGGAGCCAGTTTGTGTTTGTGAGAGTTTTCCATAGTACAGAGTGAAATCTAAAGTTTCCATCTGAAAACTAAATATGAATTTCATGTGAGCCTCTTGCTGCTACTAGCATGACACAGTGACCTAAAAATCAGTGTTCCATTTGCCATTAATACCTTGGCATTTTATAGCAACAATAGAAATAATTATTGTTTATAATTTCATTGTTTATAATACATTTACTATCCTGTTTATATATTATGATAATTATTATATCCTCTTTCTTTCCAGGTTGCTATTGAAGATTATTTACATAAAATACAAAAAGCTGACTTCAATGTATTTCATCCAAGTTTGCACCAGAAAAGCACTTTACTACCTTTGCGTTTGTACATTAGATCATGGAAAAAAGCTTATTGAAAAATATAAGATTTGAGTCTTTCTGATTGAGAATTATTATATGGAAATGTTATATGGATGATATATCCAGGTTCTTCACATTTAATTCAATCCCAGACCTCACAACAATCTTATGGAATACATTAGGTAAATTAGTAACTAGCCCACTGTCACAGAGTAAACTGCATGACTGAGTCTGTATTTGAACGCAGGAGTTGTCATCTAAATCTAATTCTGTCCATGACGCCCACCATCCTGGAACTTGAGGGTTCTTCAGCAACTTTCCATCCAGGGGCTAATCAAACAGAGCCTTGTTTAGGTTGAGCCAGGTGTTTGTATCAAGTACAGGTAGTCTTTGACTTCTGACCACAATTGAGCCAAGAAATTATGTTGCTAAGTGAGTAATTTGTTAAGTGAGTTTTGCCCCATTTTATGACTCTTCTTGCCACATTTGTTAAGTGAAACACTGCAGTTGTTAAGTTAGTAAAAGGTTGTTAAGTGAATCTGGCTTCCCCATAGATTTTGCCTATCAGAAGGTCGCAAAAGATGATCACATGACCTTGGGGCCACAGTAACGGTCATAAATATGAACCAGTTGTCAAGCATCTGAATGTAAATCACGTGACCATGGGGATGCTGCAACGGCCATAAGGGCGAAAAATGATCATAAGTCATTTTTTTCAGTGCCGTTGTAACTTCGAACCATCACTAAATGAACTATTGTAAGTTGAGGATTACCTGTACAGATTAAAACATATACATAAAGCAAAATTAATTGAAAAAGAGCAAAATTTGATAAAATGAACTTAACACAGTTTTCTGATTACCATAGGAATTATGGAAAGTCCTGGGAGTTGAACATTTACACATTTGACAAATGTCCAGAGTGGGGAGAATGTTCTATAGGATGGTGATTCTTCTCAAAAGAATATTTGCATGCCTTAACTTATTAAAATCTTTCTCTACTGCTTTTCATTAGAAATAGTAATTTACAAAGAACAATAATATGCAAAAAGAAAGCCCCCACATGCAACTGAACAAGATAATGTATTTAACAGCATGAAACAAGCAAAAATCTGAAAATTTCACTTATATGTGCTGGTCATAAGTCCCCACAAAAAAGAAGTAAATGTTATTTTCTAGAAATTAATTGGCTGGTACTTGGTTAATGTGAATTGTAATTGTGCCCTGTGGATAACTAACAGTATGCTCATATGTGCTGTTTTCACAAGACGTTTAAAAAATATTTGTGAATATGTGTTTGTGACTGTGTATGTACTCTTTCGAGTGAGTTTTTTTATTCCTGGTATCTACCTGGATAGGTCCTGGAGCTTTCTTGGCAATATTTTGGAAGTAGCTTTCTGTTGCCTCCTCCTTAAGGCTGAGAGAGAGACAATGATTGGCTCAAAGTCACCCAGCGGGCTTCATGCCTAAAGTGGGATTAGAATTCACCATCTCCCAGTTTCTAGCCTGATGCTTTAACCACTACATCAAAAAATACAAAAAGAAAAAGATGCTGTTAACATGCTAGCAAACATGTATGTATATTTGTTTAATTTCCTTTACAGAACTGTGCAGGTACCTGCATTATTAGTTATGATTTCATTAATAGCATAGGAAGCAAACATATTTATTTATTTACAGAGTTAAATGGCTGCCAATCTCATACAGTGTTTCCAGGTGACACAAAAATATTTTCTTAACATTTTTAACTTGCAAATAATTTTAACTTTTTATATCATTCAGACATTTGATACGAAAACTTTCTAGCATGGCGTGCAAGAATTAGAGTTATGATTTGTCAGTCAAATCAATACAGTTCATTCTTAGATGTTTGCCTTATGAAAAGACAATTGTATTAGAATAGCTTTGCTGTGGAATTGTTCAAAAATATAGTACGGCTTTGACAGGGTATGCCTAAGAAACAACTTTGTGTATCTCAAAAATCAACAGAAGTTTGAAATTAGTTGGCTCAGGAAAATAATATTAATTACACTTTGGCATATGCCTACTAAATCTTGACCAGATAAACTGAGAGGGTGGGATTGGTGAAAAAGCTTCAAAATCTGTTTTGCATGCAAACAACAACCATTTCAATCTACAACATTTCAAGAAAAGTTTAGAAAGTTTCATTTTCTGACACATGGGAGACCTAGTACCAGCAACTATAATTAACACTGCCTTAAATAGACTAGTGGCTTGACTTAGAAGAAACTGTTCTTTGTTTTACTTAGGCTCAGATAGTCATTAATGAAAAATGCCTTGGAAAAGCAGAGAATGGACACAAATACATTCGCCACTATTGCAAATATACACTGATGTTACTGGATGCATAATTGTATTGCATTTAGGAAGGTACAGCTGCAAAAGGGAAGAAATTATTCCTTGTATGATGGAAGATAAAGAGGTATAGTAAAACCCAGAGAATATGCATGAGCAGACAGGAGCTAGTAAACAGGATGTGAATTCAGAAAATTGCAACAGAAGTCATGTGAGATTGTAAGGTTTTAGAGAATAATACAATATTGTATCAAAGTGCAGGTATTTCTGGCTGTGGACTCTATAATCAACAGAAGCTAAGTGGGTGAAATTTGTCTTCTACAAGCCCTAATTTTCCTTGTCTCAGGAAACTGCCTAGAATTCTCCCTATGAATAAACACAAGGAGGCAGCTTGTGACAAGTATTTTTTCCTTGTGCTAATCATTTACAGGCTGATGGGTTAATTTTTTCCTTCTGTTTAAAGGAGTTAGCTAGCCTACCCATATATCATTTCCTCCAGCAATCCTGCCATCTACTGACCTCTTTCTCCTCTGTTTAGTATATATGAATATCTCTGCTTTCTTTGCAGTTATTTTTTTAAGAGGTCCTGTATTTTGAATGTAAAAATATTGAACTATACTTGCTTTACAACTGCCGTATTTAGTGATGGTTTAAAATTATTCTGCTACTGAAAAAGTAAGTTTATAACTGGCTCTCACACAACTGCAGCATCCCCACTGCCATGTGATCATGATTCCAGCACTTCAGAACTGGTGGTGTTTAATGACTGTCATAATGTCCTGTGGTCGCACAATTGCCATTTGCACCTTTCACAGTTGACTTCTGACAAGCAGAATCAATGGTAATAAAATCGCAAATTGAGGTTATGTGTCTTGCTTAACAACCTTGGGTTTTTCACTTAACAGTGGAAATGAGGTAAGGCCATTGTGGTTATGTGATATTTCACTTAATGACTGTATCATTTAGTGATGGAGTTGCCAGGCCCAATTGTGGTTGTTAAGCAAAGACTAATTCATCTTGGCATTATCCAGGCTTGATTAAAATCATAACCCAACATAGGAACTCTCCAGTTTTGTTGGTCTACCATGCAGAGTGAGGCATTCTGGGATTTGTAGGCCAATGTAGCCAACCCTCAAGTACAGGCAAACAGTCCTTTGCATGCAAGAAAAGTAGCATAATAATCAGGAGGAATGTGAGTACAAGCCTGACTCTTAACATCTTTATTTAAGAGATTGCTGTACAATTAGCACAAAGAACTGACCTGAAAAGTCATATCTCCGGAAACCAATGTCCTTGCTATGTTGCTGAATTACATGCATGGAGAAAGATTCTGGCAGTTCTGGTTCAGTGACATCTGGAAAGCTACTTATTTTCCACCCATGTGAAAGAATTTTAGGTATGCTTTTATCTGAATACATTTTACAATGATACCTGTAAAGTCTATAACCAGACCTAATTTTACTACCATTTTTAACGGTCATAAGTAATATCACAGTCATAAGTGTGAATCCAGATTAACCAATGGTGTTTTTTGCCAGACCATGCGATGGTACAACTGACCTGAATTGTGATCACATGATTGTGGGGGGCGGGGGGGGCAGTCATAAGTTCAAATTTCGGTTGTGACTGACTGTTTTGCAAATGGTTGCAAGTCGACTGTATGTGTTCTGTTTAAGTACAGTGTTTGCCATATCATATACTTGTGCTACCACATTCGAATGTGAGGGTCCTGATTATATAATGTAAACAAAATAATTATGAGAAAAGGATTTAAGATAAGAGTTTAGTACAATGTTGTTGTTAATTGCGAAGTCGTGTCCGACCCATCGCGACCCCATGGACAACGTTCCTCCAGATCTTCCTGTCCTCTACCATCTTCTGGAGTCCATTTAAGTTCACACCTACTGCTTCAGTGACTCTATCCAGCCATCTCATTCTCTGTCGTCCCCTTCTTCTATTGCCCTCAATCTTTCCCAGCATTAGGCCCTTCTCCAGTGAGTCCTTCCTTCTCATTAGGTGGCCAAAGTATTTGAGTTTCAACTTCAGGATCTGGCCTTCTAAAGAGCAGTCGGGGTTGATCTCTTCTAGGACTGACCGGTTTGAACGCCTTGCAGTCCAAGGGACTCGCAGGAGTCTTCTCCAGCACCATAGTTCAAAGGCCTCAATTCTTTGGCGCTCAGCCTTTCTTATGGTCCAACTTTCACAGCCATACATTGCAACTGGGAAAACCATGGCCTGGACTATACGCACTTTTGTTGGCAGGGTGATGTCTCTGCTTTTTAGTATGCTGTCTAGATTTGCCATAGCTTTCCTCCCCAGGAGCAAGCATCTTTTAATTTCTTGGCTGCAGTCCCCATCTGAGGTGATCTTGGAGCCCAGAAAAATACAATAAGTACAATAAATCAGCCCAAATTATATATCAGAAATATATGTATTCAAAGAGCTGTAACCGATGCAATTGAGCAGTATATGTCATCAGAGCATGATACTCTGACATCTCAATCAGCATCCAGTTGTGGCACATATGTTCATAAGGTTTGTGTGAATAAAGGGGTAAGGATGTAATCAATATATAATAGTTTATACTGTAAATCCTACAAGATCTCAATGCTATTTAGCATCTTTGCTTACAGAATCAATCAAGAATATTCATTTGTTGAAAGAATACCAATGTTGTTGAAAGAGTTCTATGTACTGATCCAGATATTTGTGTGGCTTCCAAGAAACATTGTTCACCGGATATTTAAGAAACATATTTGAAA